GATAACTCTGCTTTGAGCAAGTCCATCAGTGCCATCTTTCCAAGATCATGTACTCACTTTGTGTCTGTATCTCGTTTTGGTCTTTTTCACAGCATTTAACACTTTTCCATAATGCTATCTATGCACTGGGAAACAAACCAACCCTGTTGGCTTGCTTTGAGATGTTACTTGCTTTAGTGTGGTGATTTGAACTGAACTTGCAATATTTCCAAGGTCTACTGCATGGGACTGAAAATGGAAGTTGCTTCTGGACTCTTCAGCTGGGAGTGTGCTCACCATCTAAGCTATTTGAACTTGGTCACTTGCATTTCCCATAAGAGGTCGTTTTTCCCAAGGGAGAAACACCCAGCAAAGTCTTTCAATGGGCAAGCTGGGTGCAGGAAAGCCTTTTCTAAAACTAATGGACTGGAGTGTGTGTGTGTGGCGGGGGGGGTGGCTGGCTCTGCCTCTAGGATTTCCTTCCAGGGTTCTCTAAAAGCCTTCTTCACTTTTGTTGGTTGGTGTTTGCTATCTTGTTGAATCTGATCCTCCAGTGCATTTTCAGAGGCAGTAAATCTCACGGGAGGAGATTGTCCATCCCTCTCTCCCATGGAGCCGTTGGTGGAATTGAATTGTGTGCCTTTGAGATTGCAGCTCAGCTTCCCACCACTAGCTTTTTAAAATAGATTTTGTTTGTGTGTTTATCTACAGAATTCTTCATTGCTAACCAAAAGGCTGGAAGTTCAAATCCATCCAAAGGAACCCCTAAAGAAAGGCCTGGTGATCTAATTTTGAAGGATCAGCCACAGAAAACCCTACAGAGCAGAGTTTTCTGGAGTCCACCCAACAGCATCTCAGTAAAGAAACAAAACATTGGCTTTTCTGCTCCCCGTTTCCCCCACCCCATGGTAGGTAGCATATAACACAAGCCATGAAAGGTTTGGTGTCTACACCACCTCCAGACCTTGCCCTATTCCATCCCATCCTCATGACCTCTTACACGCTAAAGCCCATCGTTGCAGTCAATCTGTCTGGTTGAGGATCTTCCTCTCCTTCTCTGACCCTCCGCCCCTCCAAGCATGCTGTCTTTTTCCAAGGACTGGCCCCTCCTGATACATGCTGAAAGTGATGTGAGGCAAAGTTTCACCATCCTTGCCTTTAAGGAACACCCTGGTGGCACTTCCAAGACAGACTTGTCTGTTCTTTTGGCAGTTCACAAGCTATTCAGTGCTCTTCTACTGAAGATAGCTGTGTTTGTCATAGGACTTGAAAAGGTCTGTTATTTCAGAAATGGGTAGTCAGTTGTGCTTCTTAATTTGGAAGCTCCACTGAAAGTTATCTACCATGAGTGACCCTGCTGTTATTTGAAATACTGGTGGCATAACTTCCAACATCACAGCAATACACAAGTTATCACAGTACAGTAAACTGACAAACTAGCAAAGCAGTATATTGACAGGGAACTCCCAGAAATCCAAACTGGATTCAGAGAGGCTACAGAATAGGGCTATCATTGGTGCTGTCAGAGCCTGACTGAAAGCAGAAACATCAGGAAGATGCTTACTTGTACTTCAGTGACCTTGAAAAGGCATTTGACTCTGTGGATCATAACAAATTATGGCTAACATTGAGAAGCATGGAAATCCCAGAATACTTAATGGTTCATGTGAAACATGTACATAGCCCAAGAAGTAACTGTCTGAATAGAACAAGAGAACACTGCCATAGTTTCCAGTTTGGAAAGACGTGCATCAAGGTTGTATCCTTTCTCCACATCTATTCAATTTGTGTGCTGAGCAAATTAGTCAAGAAGCTGGACTACAGGAAGAAGAACATGGCATCAAGATCGGAGGAAGATTCATCAATAACCTGTGTTATCCAGATGATACAACCCTGCTTAATGAAAATGAGAACTTGAAACCCTTGCTGCTTAAGATCAAATACTGCAGCCTTGGCTAGAGAAGCTGTGGTATATTCGCACAATGGAATACTATGCTGCATTGAAAAACAAGGAACTCATGCAATATTATTCAAAATGGTTGACTCT